GGTACCGGGATGGGTCGCGGGACGCCGTGCTCCGGTGGGCCCTCGGCGTGTCCCTTCCCTCATGCCGGGGCTGCCTCTGCCTCCGGTACCGGGACCCCCCGGCGAGGCTTTCGGCTTCCCTCAATCTGCCACTAACCCTGTTAGCAAGGTGTCCCTGTGTCCCCTAGGGATGCCCCTGTGTCCCCAAATGCCTCTGTAGCCCCAGGAACACTCCCGCGTTCCCCAGTGCCCCCAAGGATGGCTTTGTGTCCCCCTCTGCCCATGTCCCCCCAGGGATCTCTCTGTGTCCCCAGCTGGACAAGCTGCCCGCAGACAAGACCCCTGCCCCCTCCAAGGCCTGATACCCCATTCAGGGTGACTTTCAGGGTGACTTACGTCCCCTCCCTGTCCTGTGGAACTGGGGGCCAGGGCCAGGAACCCCCTGGGCTGCCCCGTTACTCACCCTGAGCATCCCCAGCCCCGCGGTGGGTGCTAGCTGTGACGGGTGCTGGCCAGGACGGGTGTTGGGGGACAGCCTCGGGAAGGGGTCCTGCCCAGAGAAGGGATGCCCGGCACCAGGGTGACCAGGAGTGCTCCCCGAGAGCAGCTCTTCAGGGCACGGTAGACTGTGGGTGCCCAGAGAGGGGTCCCCAGGAGCATCGGGCAGGTCTGACCCCATCCCCGTGTCCCTGCGACCCTCTCGCTGTGCTGCCCACTGCAGTCGGGTGGGGACGTGGCACCCCGAAGGGATGGCACGGTATTTTGGGGGGACACGTGTGCTCCAAGGCACTGGCGTCTGCCAGGCAGGGCAAGGGTTAACGGCGGGAGGGTTTTGGGGTACCGGGGTGTCCCCGGCTGGGCAGACCCAGGCTGCTCCTCGCACGGGTGACCTCACGCTACTGCCATGGCAACGGCTCGTGAAGTCACCGGGAGCGGGGCGGCTGCTTCGAGCGTGGGGTGATGGGATGGGAGCGTGGGAGGCAGCGGCGCGTCCCCCGCGCTCCCGGTCACCGCGTCCCCCCGTCTCTCCAGCATGAGCTGTGCCCCCGCCGGCGCCTCCGCCTGACCCCCGCCGTGCCCGCCGTGCCCGTGTCACCATGCTCATCAAGGAGTACCGCATCTGCATGCCGCTCACCACCGAGGAGGTAAGCGGGGGGCGCCGGGACCGGGGCTGGCAGGAACAGGGGTGTCTCGTGAGTGTCAGTATGGAGGGGGCTGTGGGTGGTGGTCCTGTACCCACAGGAATGCAGCGCCAGGGGATCAGGTTCCTGCCCTGAGAGGGACAAAGTGACCCCCTTTGCTGTCCCGTGGCACAGCTCGTGGCAGGGACCGGTGTGTGCTTTGGTAATGCTGGGCTCAGGAGGTTCCATGCGAGGGCTGAGCTGTAATTTGGGGTGCAGGCAGGGGGAACATCCCATCCCTGGGCACAGTGACATGGGGGCACAGAGCCCAACAGCAGCACCTGGGCAGTGCCAGGACCACGGGATGAGTCAACAGGCAGAGGGCACTGGGGTTTTGGATACCCATGGCACTGCAGCTGCTCCAACAGGGAGCACAAGCTCAATCCCTGCTTCAGCAGGGAGCCCGAATCCCTTCAGTAAACAGTGTGGACAGCTGGACCATCCCTGGCCAAAGGTCTCTCGTGAGCATCTGGAGCTGACAGGGACATTTGGGGGGCAGGGAGCTGCAGCAGTGCCCACCCTGGACAGTACCAACCCTCCCTGGACACTGTTTTGCTGTTGGCATGTGGGGAAGGTTTTAATTTCGGCAGAGAGGGGTGATAAGATCGCGCTGGCGTTGGGGTGATGGATGGGATCTTCAGTGGAACAATCAAACCCTTATCGCGCGGCTGCATCACCAAACACACATATCATTATATAGATGAGATATCCATACCCACGTATATCATATAGATACAGTTTTCCCTGGCTCCCAGGTGGTTTGCTGAGCTGGGAGAGCAGGACACAGGTGCTGAAGCAGCCCAGGGACATGGGGGTCAAAGAGGGTGCCCCAGGAACCCCCTGTCCACTGCAGGGCTCAGGCTCTGCCACCTCTTGCTCCACGCCTCAGTTTCCCCTCTGGGCAGTGGGGCTGTGCCGGGTGGTCAGCGGGGCCGCTGGCACTGAGGCCGGGCATTGTGGTTGCAGTACCGTGTGGGGCAGCTCTACACCATCAGCAAGCACAGCCACCAGGAGAGCGAGAAGGGCGAGGGCGTGGAGGTGGTGAAGAACGAGCCCCACGAGGACCCCGTCCACGGCCCCGGCCAGTTCACTGAGAAGCGTGTCCACCTCTCCAGGTGAGCCGGCAGCTCTGCTGAGGGGTGCTGGGTGGGCACTGTGAGCAGGGAGCCAATCTTCCCTACAAAATTCCTGGAGAACATCCTTTCTGAGTCCTGGACAGCCTGCAATGTGGCTGCACACATCTCCCAGGGGTGCTGCCATCATCTCCCAGGGGTGCCCCCAAGTCCTAGAATGCACCCATCTTTGAGACCTGCACCCAACTTTGGGGGGTGCACCTAACACCCAGGGTGCACCCATCTCCTGGGGTGCACTTCTCTTGGGGGGCTGCACTTGTCACCTGGGCTGTACCCATCTCCCAGGTATATACCACCTGCAGGGGCTGCACTTTTCCTTGGGGGTTATTGACCAGGGTGCACCCATCTTCATAGCAGTGCATCCAACTTCCTGGGGGCTATCTCCTGCAGTGCACCCATCTTCCTTGGGGTGCACCCCTTCTCTGGTGGGCTGCACCCTTCTTCTGGGGTGCACCCATCTCAGGACATCCACCCCTCTCTGCTAGTCACCCATCTCAGGTACCAGTAGGTGCCTGGGTGAGGGGCTCAGCAATGCCCAGGCCCTGGAGGTGTCCCCATGTCCCCTGACACAGCCCCAGGTGCCCGTGGCACTGCTGTCCTCATGTCCCCCCCAGTGGCTGCTCCTGACAGGGAGCCACTGGTGTGAGACAGGTTATTTTTAGCTGCCTCACTCACGATTCCCCTATCGGGGCAGGTACTTATAACGCCTGAAAATTAATCAAAACTCACCTCCTGGCTCCTCTGGGGGCCTGCTCCTGCCCAGGGTGCTGGGAGGGGGATGGGACCACCCTGGCCCTGAGGAGGTGGAGGGGTCCTGGGGAAGGAGTGACAGTCCAGGAAGAGGGGTGGGGGTCTCTTGGGGTGGGGACAAGGGGCTGGGGAGAGGGAGGTGGTTTTGGGGAGAGGATGGGGGCACTGGGGAGGAGATGAGAGTCTTGGGATGGAGATTGAGGGTCCTGGGGAGTTGGCATGGATCCCTGAGGAGGCCCTGGGGTGGAGGTGATGGTGCTGGGGAAGTGACTAGGGGTCTCTGAGGGGGGGTGCTGGGGTGGTGGTGACAGTCTGTGGGAGATGAAAGTGTCCTGAGGTGCAGATATGGGTCCAGAGGAGGTGGGGGCTGTCCCTGGGGTGATGGGGTACAGGTGAGCATCCCTAGGGGGATCCTGGGGGGAGGTGAAGGTGCATGGGGGGGAGCTAGGGCAGAGTGGGGGTCCCGAGGAGGTAATGGGGGTCTCTGGGAAGGGTTTGGGGGTGCACATGAGGTCCTAGGGTGCAGGTGAGGGTCCCTGGGGGCCTGGGGTAGAGATGAGGGTCCTGGGGAGATGGCAGGGATCACTGGGAGTGTCCTGAGGTGCAGGTGGTGATCCTGGGGTACAGATGAGGGTCCTGGGGAGGTGGCAGGTGTTCCTGGGCAGTGATGGGGTGCAGGTGAGGGAATCCTGGGGTGGAGGTGAGGTTGCATGGGGAGGATCTGAGGTGGAGGTGAGTGTCCTGGGGAGGGGATGGGGGTCCCAGAGGGGCTGGGTGGCACCAGCCATGTCCTGCCCTGAGGGGGTCCTCTCCCCATGGTCCCCTGCAGCAAACTGCCGAGCTGGGCACGGGCAGTGACCCCCCGAATCTTCTACATCACTGAGAAGGCCTGGAACTACTACCCCTACACCATCACCGGTGAGCCCTGGGAAGGGCATGGGGGTGGGCACTGCCAGGAACCCTGTCCCTCCCCGGCAGGGGCCATGGGCTGCCAGGAGCCTGGCCATGGCCCCTGCCCCTGGTCTCACCGCTCCCCCTCTCCCCCATGGTGCCACCCTGTCATGCCACCCCACAATGCTGATGTGCCACGGTGTCCCTGCAGAGTACACGGTAAGGAGGTGGCACGGGGGGACCTGACCCCTTCCCCAGCACCTGGCATGGCTGGGGATGGGGCACTGGGGTGGGCATCCCCCTTGGGGTGGGTCGTCCCTTGAGGACGGGTGTCCCTTAGGATTGGGTGTCCTTGGGACTGGACATCTCTTGGGGCTGAGTGTCCCCTGGGGGTGGGAGTCCCTTGGGGCCGGGTGTCCCTGAGGTGGGTGTCCCTTGAGGTGAGTGTCTTTGGGGATGGGTGTCCCTGGGTCTGGAGATCCCTTGGGGTGGGTGTCACTTAGGATTGGGTGTTCCTGGGGTGCATGTCCTCGGGGATGGGCATCCCTTGAGGATGGGCATCCTTGGAGGCGGGTGTCCCTTGGGCTGGGTGTCCCTTGATCTGGATGCCCCTTGGGGCAGGGTGTCCTTTGGATGGGTGTCCCTCAGGATAGATGTACTTGGGGATGGGCATCCCTTGGGTAGGTGTCCCTGGGAGTGGGTGTCCTTCAGAACAGGCATCCCTTGGGGACCAGCTGACAGCCACTCCCTGCAGTGCTCCTTCCTGCCCAAATTCTCCATCTACATCGAGACCAAGTACGAGGACAACTGCGGGGACAGTGAGAACGTGAGTGTGCACCACAGCTGAGCCCTGGCAAACTCATCACAGAGGCCATGTGGTCCATGTCACTCACCTTCCCTCCCCTTCCCAGATCTTCCACAGTGACAAAATCCTGGGCGACCACGAGGTCTCTTTCCTGGACATTGCCTTCGACGAGATCCCTGAGCGCTACTACCGCAGCCTGGAGGTACCAGGGTCGGGGACGAGGGGGCTCCCTGGGGCCACCCCTCTGTCCTGGGGGGGCTCATGGCCCTGCTCTGCCTGATCCCCTCAGGACCCCCGATTCTTCAGCTCAGCCAAGACGGGCCGGGGGCCGCTGCGGGAGGGCTGGCGCCAGCACACCAAGCCCATCATGTGCTCCTACAAACTGGTGAGCGTCAAGTTCGAGGTGTGGGGGCTGCAGACGCGGGTGGAGCAGTTTGTGCACAAGGTGAGGGGCATCCAAGCTGGGCTGGGCGGATGTTGTGGGGGCAGTGACAGGGTGCTGACCCCCCTGGTGTGGTGCAGGTGATCCGGGACATCCTGCTGATCGGGCACCGGCAGGCGTTCGCCTGGGTGGACGAGTGGTGCGGTGAGTCTGTGGGGTCACCCTGGTGCTGATGGGGAGGGGGGCACACGGTCCCCGTGCTGGGAGGGGGCTGCAGGTCTAACTGCTGATGCCATTAACCCCATTGGCAGCTCCCACTCTTCCTCCAGCTCCCCTGCTGCCTGCACTACCTGCTCTGCCTGCTCTGTTCCACTCCCCTTGCCCTCACCCCTGCCTGCACCCTGCATGCTGCCTGCTCTGCTGCACACCTGGGGAGGACAGGGAGAGGGGTCCCAGCCTGCTGCCTGCACTGCCTGCACCCCTCCCTGTCTGGCAGGAACACTCACTGCAGGCGCTGCCAAGCACAGACACAGGGATGGGAGCCCCGGGTTTGGTGACAGCCGGTGGTGGGTGCCGGCGGGAAGCAGGGCCGTCCTGGTGAGTGGCTCTCTGCCTTCCAGACATGTCCCTGGAAGAGGTCCGGGCCTTCGAGACTCAGATGCAAGTGGCCACAAACCAAAAGCTGGGGAGCCAGCACCCCTAACTCCCGCTGCCTGCCAGGGCCGGACACTCCAGACCCCGCCACACTGCCTGCGGGCAGGTGCAGGCAGGGGAGCTTGTGCCCCCCCTGCACCCCGCGGCAGAGGGTCCCCCCTCCTGGCTGCCCTCCCCACGTGTCCCCTGCCTGCGCTGCCTGTCCATCCCTTCCCCGCTGCTGGCTGGGCTGGTGCCGGAGCGGGCGGCTGGCTGCGCTGTCCGGCTTCCCCTTCCCCGCCTGTGCCCTTGTCCCCAGCCCGTCCCCTTGCCGTCCCCCAGCTCGGCGGGGAGCCGAGGTGCAGGGCGCAGGCTGCCCCGGGATGAGGGGGTGCAGGACGCGGCCGTGCCGAGCGGCCCCAAGCCCGGCTGTGCTCAGCAGGGATGACGATGGAGGACGTGCGGCGCTACGAGCAGGAGACACAGGAGGCCACCAACGAGCTCATCGGCCTGGTGGCACCTGCCATCTCGGTCAGCGAGGTGGGGCAGCCGACAGCCACGCACTCGGCCCCTGCCAGCGCCCCCTCCACCCCCCTCAGCGACGAGGCCCCCGAGTTCCTCGCTCCCCCCAAGACTCGCCCGCGGAAGAAGTCGGCGCCAGAGACCCTGACACTGCCTGCGCTGCGGGAGCGCACTGGCGCCGAGTGATGCTGGCAGTGCCACACCGGGCTGGACTGGGCCAGCTCCGCCGCCCACCACGGCCCCTCCGACAGGCACCGACCCCAGGGAGGGACCCGCCGTCGGGGCGCTGGGAGCCCCGGGGGGGTGCTGGCCTCCCTGAGCCACTGCGGGTGCCCAGGCAGGTCAGTGCCACCGCTGCCGTGCCACACCCGCTGGCTGCACCAGGAGAGGACACCAGGCCCGTGTGGGTCCCTGGCAGTGTCAGGCAGTGCTGCAGGAGCTGGTTCCTTCAGCCCCACCCA